AAAAACGATGGTTGGATGGAAAGACTGAAGAGCAGCCTCACCGACGATCCAATCATGGAGAAAGAAATGGATGGGGAATACATCAAAAATGACAACGGGTTGATCTACATCCACGGATTGATCTACGTCCCACGACGACTTCAAGACGAAGCGATACAACGACACCACGACGACCCAGCGCACGGTCACATGGGAGAAGAAAAGACAACGGAACTCCTTTCGAGGAACTACTACATCCCAAGCATGCGCAAGAAAGTGATAAGATATATCAAGCAATGCGACACCTGTCAACGAAACAAGCCATCGCGACACACTCCATATGGCGAGTTACAGAACTCGGAAGTACCAACACGACCATGGGAATGGATTACGCTCGACTTCATTACCAAACTACCCAAATCAGACGGGCACGACATGATTATGGTAGTGGTGGACCGATTGACGAAATATTCATATATGATACCAACAACAGAAACCATCGACGCAAACACCATGGCTTTCCTGTTATTCAGATACATATTCGCCAACCACGGAACACCCCAGAAGATAACATCAGACAGAGACAAGCTCTTCACGAGCAAGATGTGGCAATCATTCGCGGATATGGTAGGCATTGAGCATAGACTCTCCACCGCCTATCACCCACGAACGAATGGCCAAACGGAAAGAACCAACCAGACCTTGGAACAGTACCTAAGGCACTACGTGAACTACCAGCAAGATGACTGGGCAGGACTGTTGCCACTGGCACAATTCGCGTACAACAACAGTATGCACACAACCACTAAGGAAACACCATTCTTCGCAAACTGTGGGTACAATCCCTCGATCGTTGGCGAAGCAATCGGAAAAAAGACAGAAGCAGAGTCATCAAGACTACTAGCTTCACAACTCAAGCAACTGCACCTCCAGTTAGCTAGAGATATCGAATTTTTCAACCTACGGATGAAACACTACCACGACAAATCCCGCCAGAAGGGACCAGACTTCAAAAAGGGGGAGAAAGTGTACCTCCTACGTCGGAACATCAAAACCAAGCGACCGAGCTCGAAGCTCGACCACCTAAAACTGGGACCTTTCGAGATTGAAGAAAAAACAGGACCGGTCAATTATCGCTTGAAGCTACCAGACAGCATGCGACGCATCCATGCAACATTTCATATCTCGTTACTCGAAACCGCACCAGAAAACGCTGAACTCGCTACAAATGTGGAAATAGAGGAGGAAAACGAAAACGAATATGAAGTAGAGGAAATTCTAAACATGAAACGCGTCAGCGGAAAACCTCACTACCTGGTAAAATGGAAGGGGTACGATACCTCGGAAAACACATGGGAGCCTACCGAGAACCTGACGGACTGCCGCCAGCTGGTTCAACGGTTCCACCAGGAGACTGGCCAAAAACACCATCAAGGGAAGAGACGTCCGGGACGGCCCAGAAAGCATCCGGCATCTGGTCCATCGACGCCACCAACCTCGTCAGACTCGAGTCTGACGTAGCGGCCAACTGACGAATCTCTTGCTGCTCGGCCAAACGGTCGAACTCGGACAGTTCAGCAAGAAGAAGGAGGATCGTCCTCGTTGAGACGATCCGACACTACCGAGTCGTGATCCAACATCCGACCACCACGATCTTTAAGAAATTGTTGATGCTTTTGCAAGCGAAGTATCTTCGCCATCGCTTCGTTCATCTTTTGGGAATACTGAAGAAATTGCTTTTGGGCCTCCGTGAGGTCCGCCGACACCTTCTGCTCCTCCCGCTGCAGGTCATCCCACTCCTTGTCGGTATGGAAGCTCCGTTCGCACACCTGGCCTCGACGGGCGCAGGTAGAACACTTCTTACTGTTCGCATAAGGACTCATAATGCAACACTTGCCGCGAACCAGGCAATAATCACAAGGGGATGACGTGGGGCGACCAGACTGTTCGATTCTAAGGGCAAGACGATTGTTGTCAGCGTACTTGTTACGTTTCGGTTTTTGAACAGCGGGTTTAGGCATGGTGAACCATGACGGGAAAATTAAAAATCAAAGGGACCGACACTTACCTGAGGGGGGTGAGCGGTTATAAGGGATTCTCGAGGACGAGAACCAAGGAGAGGGGGAGATGATGTTACGGACCCTGCGACACGAGGGGCCGCGACCTACAGATGGGCCACCGAGAGCCAACCGTTCCTAGGAAAAGAACGCAGAACCGGATCACGTGACCAACGGCCAGAATCAGCCTCTGATTCGCCGTGTCAAACAATACTGCACTAAACCACGAGACGGCTAGCGCGACGCAAGAACAAGCGTTCTTTCTACCGTCACCAACTTTACGCCAGAAGTACAAGTACCCGGTAAGACCACGTGACCTTGGGTATACCAGTGGGTATACCAACGGGTAGATGGGAGGGTCGATTCTGGTATACCACCAGACATACCCTCCAACATACCACACCACGGAGGATTAGGTATATAGGGACGCTCGTCCACGCACATGTATTTAGTTCTCCGCGATCAATCAATCTAAGTTACTGTGACGTACCTTTCGGATTACTCTTCTAGTTTCACACAAGTGACAAACCCACACAAGTACGGGGAGCTCATCGGACTGACCTACTTGGCGCCCTACCTGGCACACCCTTCGAAGTTACTCAACAAGACCCGAGCCCGTGTAAGGCTTAGCATAGCAACGGTACGGTTGCGAGTCGATACTTAAGGCTTTATTGGTGTTTGCTCTTGAGAGGCCGAATCCAGCCCTCTCAGCGCAAATCGTTATTCTACTGAATAACAAAAGTGAGTTCTACCAACTGTCCAAACACTAATAGTGCGACCAGTTAGCGAGTGCGTAACACTATAGTTAAAATAATTATTTAAAGAAATTTTAATAAATTAGTTAATCTCTCTAATAAGTATATTATTTAGATTATTATTATTTTAAGAAAAAAATAGATAAGGATTACTATTAATATAATAAAGATTTAGATATAAATTAGAGTTATTTTAATTTAGGTATAAATTATAGTTATTTTAATTTAGGTTAGTTTTAGGACTATAAGGATTCTTTAAGTATAGATTTCTAGAACTTTTTTAATCTTATTCTTTACTATTAGACTAATTTAGAAATAAGTTATTAAGTTATAGATATTTTAAGCTTAAATTATAATTATTATTAAATAGATTATATTTATATACTTTTACTTTAGTAAATTTCTAGATATTTTATACTTCTATTTATTATACTTAAGTTTCTAAAGAAATCTTTATATATTATTAAATATATAGTATTAACTATAGCTATAGTTTTAATATATAGCAGTAAGCTTATATATTCTAGATCTATAAGATAGTAGTAAAAGACCTTTAGTTTCTTATTTAAATTATTAATAGTAATACTCTATCTTATTACTAACTTTCCTAATAAATATATTTTTATTATATATTAAGATTAGAGTCTATTCCTTAAAATACATCTAGCTACTAAAGTAGTTATTATAATTATCTTTAAGGTATCTTTCTTCTATAGTCTCGTTTAGACCTTGCCAAAGCCCGTGGGCTTTTGGGCCCGGGCCTTCAAACAAGACAAACACAAGAATACATAAAATATATTGTATTTTTAGTAATTTTGAGTGTATAGCTACGTATAATACTAAGCTTATAATCCCTATGGCCAATTTGTTGCAATCCCCATCGCCAATTTGTTACGATCGCCATGGTAATTTGTTGCAATCGCCATGGCCAATTCGTTGCAATCCCTTTGGCCAAATTGGTGCAATCCCCATCGCCAATTTGTTACGATCGCTATGGCCAGTTTGTTACGATCGCCATGGCCAAATTGGTGCAGTCCCCATCGCCAATTTGTTACGATCGCCATGGCCAATTTGTTACGATCGCTATGGCCAGTTTGTTGTAATCCCCATGGCCAATTTGTTACGATCGCCATGGCCAATTTGTTGCAATCCCCATCGCCAATTTGTTACAATCGCTATGGCCAAATTAGTGCAATCCCTATAGCTATCGCTGGCCGTCGATTATTATTTTGCAGGCAAAAAAGGGGTATTCGGTAACCATTGCCTATATAGCCTTGGTGTCATGCATTATAGTGTATTATTATATAGTGGCTTTATTTAACCAATAATATTGTAATAATATAATTAGTACTATAATTTAATTGGTTCAGAAGTGGGCCCCTAGGGCCTATGCCCCGCTTAGGCCTATAGCCGAAGCTCTTAGAATTTTGAGAAGAATAGTAGTAGTGCTACCCTCCGTGTCAAATATATATCTTCATGTTCAAAATCATCAAATAACTAAAACTAAAATATTTTAATTTCTACCGGTCAGAAGTACTTCAAACTTATAATATATATAATATATATTCTTACTATTATATAAATAAAATTTTAAACAAAAATATTAATATTTAGTATATAAAACGCGTCGGTAAAATATTTATAAATTATTATCATTATATTCTAGGCACACGTACTAGGAATACGTACTAAGCACACGTACTAAGCACGCGTAGGTAATATTACCAGAATTGACAATACTAGATAGTGTAAGATGGGAACGCTCAATGGCAGTCTGTCAAGCAGACGGGTCGATCACAAGAAGACAAAACCACCACACTCGCAGAGTGCAGGAGAGTAGTAGACAGAGCGTGACGCTATAGAGATGCGACTAGTAAGGCATTCGAGTCTTCATAGACATACGATACACCGATACTGTAACCTCAGCCTCAGTAGACTCCGCAGAGAGAATAATTCATAAGGGGGAACATGCATGTTGTTATTGATACTATCGAACGAACGCTACTTATTCTTCCGAAACGATATGGCTGCCTTGTTACTAAGGCCCCAATCACCTGACTATGGGATACCGGTGTTGAGAGCGGAATTCCCCATTATATACCACCCTCCCTGAAAAATTGACCGTCCCTTGGTCAATTTAAAACAAAAGAAACAAATGATCAGATAGCACCTCCGACAATCATTCTATGCTTGATCCATTAATCGGCACCTAGCCGCCATGAGGATGGCTAACCTCTGCCTCAGGAGTAGGTTGCTGTATGCTCGATAGTGGTTGAGATTCAGCAGGAGCATGAACAGGCTTATCGGGTAACAGACCTAGTTCCTGGTCGTCAACAAGTATGCCCTTCTTAATACGGTAGAAGAATAAGTTTTTGCCGTATTCCTTCTTCTCTAAGCGTTTAGTCAGTTCAAAGCAGCGTAGGTACTTATACCAAGCTTCCTCTCGCCAGTTGTGAACCATTGCTCTTGCAATCTCAGGGTCTTTTCTAAAGAGATTATCTAATTCTATATATATAGAGGGACTGTCCTATCTCTGTCAGCCTACTAAATAATTCAGAATCCTGTATCGGGCCGTCCAGAAATATACTCCGGCAGTAAAGGGAAACAGGATAGTACTATATCGAGAAGAGGAATAACCAGAGGGTGTCTTGGATACAGATATTAGTATACGATGAGCCTCTGCTAGCTCCTCCTAGGTATTTGATTCTATACAGTCCAGAGTTTTATAGTCATCCTAGATTACTGTATACTATAGGAGTCTGGTTTAGCGTACTTGTATAGCGGGGCCTGTTAATCTATAAGGCAGTATAGGAAGAGAAAGTCGTATATTACCAATACTACAAACCTCTGTTATCCATTAGGTACTATATATTTCCTTATCCTCCTTTCTCTATATAAAAGGTTTAATACCTAAGATAAAGCTGTCTCTAATAGATCTACAGGACTAGATATCCTTCTACTATTTTGCCAGATATTCTGTCTTATATATATCTTTTAGCAGTATAGTACAGTTCTGTTTGTCTTCTTATATAAAAGACACTGATCCTTATAGTAGACTACTACCTCTCTGGCTATTAAGATAATCCTGGATATTAATGTTAAGGTGCCAGAACTCAGTATATTCGCCAGCCTATATACTTTTTATATAGTAAGGATACGAGATCAGACACTATATATAGTCTGGCCGGAAAAAGATATATACCATATAGTAGGATAGGTCTTATCGAATCAACTGCTGAATATTTGAGTGCTATATGCCGTAAAGCTACCTAAGCTCTTTTGTTGTATCACTTAGATAATAATGGTATATTCAAAATTCCTGGTAAATAAGCGGCTATAAGCCTTCTGGGTATCGTCTGTCGAGATCCTCTCTAAGCTATAAGAAAAGGTTCGGTAATACCGTACTGCCATCATTATATATATTATATACCAGGCTAATATCTAGAGCCTCTTCTGTATAGATCCTATCAATCAAAGTCTCTACCGATAGCTATTTAGTATACGATATAAAGTCAGAGATAAGCAGAGCATAATACTAAGGGCAGAAGCAATAGAAGCCGAGACTGTTTTCCTACCGGAAACTAAACTATCAGGGGTAATCTTTTATAAATTAATCCTATTTACTAATATACTAATATAATAGGGTGATACGGTTGACTAATTACTAATAGTTTTTCAAAGCACTCGTTATTTGTACTGTATTAACCAATACCTTAGTATATTAGTTATAGAGGGTACTGATCGTAATGCCTCCTGACCTCATTAGTCTTCTGCTAATTATATACAGAGTAATCAGTCTGTTCTTTTGTTTTAAGAAGTCTTTATCCTTAAGGGCTCTAACCAATATAGTCAGGCATAGCAAATATCTATATTTTATACGTTCGTTAGTCAAAACAAGGATTTTATTATTACTAGACCTTGCCAAAGCCCGCGGGCTTCTGGGCCCGGGCTAGGCCCGGGCCTGATTTTAGCGGCCCGTACAGCCCGCAGGCCGGGCCGCGGGCCTAAAAGTAGGCCCACGGGCCGCTAGTTCACGGGCTGCAGGCCGCTAAGGAAGCCCGGCCCGTGGGCTCGGGCCTAAAACTGAGGCCCGCGGGCAGGCCGGCCCGGCCCGCGGGCCTTCAAATAAGACAAACACTAGATAATTTAACAGTGCATAATTTTTTATTTTTTATTAGGTATTGTACTGTAATAATTTAAGCTAAGATTTATATTTAATACGTATATTTAAACAGAATTATTCTATAATAATTACAGATATGGTTTATCTTCCATATATTTCCAAAAAATTTGAATTTTTTCTATCTAGTACTGCATAAATATATCATTATTACGTCTTGCCTGTTTGCGGTTTCTGCTTAATACTCGAAGCTAGGTTTCTGGTAGAGGAAGTAAAACTGAGTCTGAATACTTATCTTCCTCTGGCTCAGGTTTATATAAGGTTGTCCCCTATATACCTAGTAACTGGCTTACTAAAGCTACTACTAAGGCTCTTTTATTCTGACCTATATCCTCTTCCTTATTATTACTAATAGGCTCTAGCTTATCCTTCTCCCCCTGTACTCTTCTTTCCTCTCGCTCTGCCTCTATCTCCTGCTGTAAGAGATATGCTTCCTGGATATTTAAATCTGTAGTTTCAGTCTCAAACTCAGAGGTACAATTCAGCATTATAAGATCCTGGATTATAGTAGGACTTAATAAGCTACGTTGATAATAATATATATTATAAGCTAAGTTAAATAAACGCTTAACTCCTATACTAGTTACAGGAGCAGTAAGAAAGTCCTTTATAAGATATATAAGTAAAGAATATTCTTGTTTATAATCCTTCTAGTAACTAAGAATACTCTTTGATTTTTGTATTCCTAGAGCTAGTTAGTAATAGTTTATATAATATCAAATTATTAGAGACAGACCTAAGTTAAGATACCAACTGATTTTATCCTAATCATTTTCTTATATATCCCCTACTATAGAGCTTTTAACTAAATACTCAATATTATCAAAGCTTCTATAATCAGAGCTATAATTATATAGATTATCAGTTTGATTATTAACTTAGCGAGCTTTATAAGTCTTAAAATATTTCTGTAGACATTGGCGATATCTTTTTTTCCTAGGGTAAAGGATTATTCTTTCCTTATATCTATTCCTGGGTAGTAAAGAATCTTAACTTCTTCTGAGGATAAAGGATAGTTATAATAGTAAAAAGATCACTATAAGAGTTATAAGTCTGAGTATAGTATTTATTAAGCTTTTCCCGTACAGCCTTAAGAGCAGTAAGTATTAATCTTTTCCAGGGAACTCTTTTCTTCCTTAATCAAAGAATAGATTTCTTAAGATAATCAAAAAGCTGGTTGTAAATAGTAAAAACTAGATAGATAGTAATATCCTTTATTCTAGAGAGAGCTATTATATATTTAAAAAATAGATCTATAATCCAGAGAAGATAATCTACTTAGTACCATTGTTCTTAATTAAGTATAAGGTATAGCCTATTTTTCTCTAGACAAAATTAATTAAAAAAAAGGCAAAGACGTTTTGCTTAGCAAAGCATAAGAAATATTGAGTTCTAGCGTATTCTAACATCCTAAATTAGAAGAATCTTTTGTTAGTTAGGTTAGAGTTCTAGAAAGCTCTTATAATATTATAGGCTAGTATTAATAAAGATTACAAGACTGCAAACCTAGAAATATAATATAGTATATTATTATCTAGCCTTCCTATATTATAAGAGAAAGATAGATACTTACTTTCTTAAGTATATAAGTAATCTCTCTTTTCCTCTGGTTTATACAGATAGTATAGTCCTTCTTATTAGACCAGTACTCAGTTATATTATTTTTTAGTAATGCCTTTATACAACCAAGAAGCTGATTTAATATAAGTTAGATTATATATATAAGATATAGAATCTAGATAATTTATATCTGCTTACAAAAAGGCTCTAGCTCTTTAGAGTTATAAAGACTTTATATTAATATTTTATTATTAGATATGTTGTTAGTAGTGACTGTTAAGACCCGGTCTGCTAGCTAATACTTCTAAAGGACTATAATAAAAACCTTTATAAGGTTAGGGCCTAAATATTTACCTAAAAGAGGCTCAAAGCTAAGTAAGAGCTCCCGATAGTTCTAATTAGTATTAATAAAATAAGCAGTAATTACTATAAATACTTATTAAAATAGTAAGGTCTAGCAGTTAAGGGTAATTAAAAGCTTATTTTCCTTTGGAAGTAACCCTAGTATCTTATTCTAGCGCTATATTACTATAAGGCTAAGCTTATGCTTTACTGCCTTAGGGCTTAGAACTAGAAGTCTTAAAGATATCTGTTGAGCCATTTAGATTAACTTAATAAAATTAGGATAGATAAGTAGCTAAAACAGAAGACAGGATCAAGCAATAAAATATAATTAACTAGCGTTCTATAAAGCAAGGGTAATTTAAGTAGTATAGTTAGTAACCTATAAAATATATTTAGATTAGTAAACTAAAGATAGTTATTATAATAGCAGATAGGATAGTATACTAGTTTTACAAACTTTTTAATAGTATTCTGCTTATAGGCAGTCTTATAACTTAGGCTATTATAATGACAGACTATTGTAGACAAACCACCGCTATATTTAGGATGCTTTAGGATACTACAATATAATTAACAGAGTACCTTTGGTTTACCTAAATCTGCTTCTACAACTTATTAAAACCCCTGCCAAGAGCTAGAGTTTTGCCCAGTATCCTAGCATATCTTGTTTGACCTTCTATAGCCAGTTTAAAGCTACTAAGCTAAAAAAAGCTCAGTATCCTTTATTATATTATAGATAGCGTAAGTACGATAGCGACAGTTATAATAAAGAGTAGTTTACTTAATCTTCTGTAGGATAGAGTTTGTATCTCCTAGCCGATCAGAAAGATATAAATTACTAGCTAAAGGGGCAACTGAATATATATCAGAGGGTATATTAGAGGGTAGAATTAAATAGGAAGCCTTACTGAGCAAGGGGTCAGTAGGGATTAGTAATTATATCTCTGATAAAGGGTCTAATAAAATAACTTTATCAAATATAGATAATTAATCTGTTGAGAATTAAGAGAATTAAGACATAAGTAAAAGAAGATCCTAGCTAATAGTAACTTAGAAGTCTTAAGAGCCTTACCTCTATTTATAAAGATATAAAATATTTTGTTAAATTTGGTAGGGGCAGCTAAAATCCCCTAAATTATCTAGAAAATAAAAGATATAGCAGGCCTTATAGGCTATCTAAAAGCCCACAGGATATCTAAAAGCCTATAGGCTATCTAAAAGCCCATAGGCTACTAAAAAGCCTGCTAGCCTAGGGGGTCTTTTGGCAGAAAGATTCAGATAGCTTCTTATAATATATTAAGGCTGTATAGCTTATATCTCAGACCTTATAGGCTATCTAAAGTCTACAGGCTACCTATAGGCCTTAAAAAGCCTGCTAGCCTAGGGCACCTTTCGGCAGAAAGAAAGACATAGCTTATATTTCGGCAGAAAGTAAGGTATAGCTTATCTTTTAGCGGAAATAAAAGTATAGCTTATCTTTCGGCAGAAAGAAAAGTATAGCTTACCTTTTAGCAGAAAGATTAGGGTAGCTTCTTATAATACTTTAAGGCTATATAGTTTATATATCAAATTAATATACTCAGGGAAGCAGAGAAGTAGATAAGTAGGGTATATCAGACCCTAATTAGCATAAAGGTAGGCTAGGGTATAGCTAGTACCAAAACTAGTATATAGCTAGGGGTAAAATAAGTTATAGTGTTATAGGCAGTAACAAGAGCTATAATTTTAGTTAGGGTACTAGAGTAGAGATTAGGTAAAGGAATATATTAAGATCTTTAAGCAAGGTATAGAGTAGGGCGGCTAGGATACTAATTAGCTACTATCTTAAGATAAAGCAGGTATATAGGGTTAACCTATACGCCTGCAGGCTATAGGCTTACGGCCTACGGGCCTACGGCCTATACTTAACCTAAAATTAATACTTTACTAATACTTAATAATAACTTCTATTAAAGAGAATATATTAGAGATAAAAAGCTATAGTAAAATAAATAATAGATTATAAATCCTAAGAATTTTCTTATTTTTATAGTATTCTTAATTTTATTTAATATCTATATTAAGGAAATTAAGTCTTATACTGTAGGTCCTGCTAGGGAATTAACTTAGATATATCTATAAGAGATATATATCTTTGACTATAGAGTAAAATACCTACTTTAGCCTAAGGCAGAACTAATATAATATTGCTATATAATTTTATAGGCTATAGCCAGGCTAAGATCTTATTTTATTATGGCTATAGCAGTCTCTCTATCTTTTTTCTTACTAGCTTCTCTCTGGCTTAGCAACATACGATATCTTTATAAAGAATAGGTTTCAGCCAAATTACTGGCCCTATAGCCATAAAAGGTTAGATATTATATAAATAAATTATCTACAGCTTGCTAATATTAAAATAAGCAGGACTACGTCGATCTGCATATATTATAAAAGATATATCTTAGCAACAGTAATCAAAGATACGTCTCAGTAACAGTAATTAAAGATACATCTCAGTAATAATAATTAAAGACAGTGAATATATTAATTACTATTATATCTTTAAGGACTAATACTAGCCAGGTATACACTTCTAATATATAAGGCTTCCTTTTTGGTTTATAGCTAATAACTGCCAGGACTCCTGGCGTAGCCGTTGCTATGTAGATATCTCTCGCTGCCGCTGCTGCCTAGGAGGTTATCTTTCAGCAGAAAGATATTGCCTGGCCTGGTTTATAAGATATTATCCCTCCCGTTCTGTATCGTGCCTTCCTTCTATAGAAGACTTCCTCTTCGGGTATACCTTCCTTAATTACCAACTTCCCCTTTTGGCTATTATAAGCTAGCTAATCAGAAGCCTGCACAGGATATAGGAGCTTCTTTTACCACTGTTCGAAACTTAACTTCTTTAAACTTCTTTCTTTTAGCTTAATTCCTTTTATTATTTTGCTTTAAAGTCTTCGAAACCTTTGATTCTTTAATACAGACAAGTCTTCGAATATATTTTGCTCTATCCTTTGTTAACGAAAAAGGGTATTTTATTATATCCTAGGATATAATCGAGGTAGGTATTCTATACCCAGTCTCTGGACGCCCTGCTTTACCAAACGAAGCTATCTATAATACTGACTACAGCCACTATAGCTATAATATTGACTACGGCCATAAAAGCTATAAAAGCCAAAGCAACAAGATATCTCTAGCCCTATGTCAGTCTACCAATGCAGTATCTACTCTGATCTTAGATTCCGCTGAAATCCTTAGTGGCCTAACTATCGGAGCAAAGTACTTTAAGACCACTAAAGAGCTTCTTAAGTGGCTAAGCTCCCTGCCGAAACCAGATATATATCAGATCATTAATAACTACTGCGATATTATATTTAAGCAGCTTAATATAATTAAGCAGGTACTTTATAATATTTATACCTAGGCTCAGAACTCTGAGATCTACGAGGGCACTTATAATATTTACTAATTTAAAGAGAAATAGAAGGAGGTGGCCAAGATAGCCTAACGCTGTACTTCTAATCAGAAGACAATAGATACCCTTAGCCAGAGAGTACTTACTATATAGGGCAACTATATACAGTCTCTTCTTCTTTATCTCTGTACAAAGTTAATATTCAATATACTTAGTAAGATACTTAACGCAGAGCTTACTTTTAATAATATCCAGAATATAGTAAATAATACTATAATCAAACAGATTAGGGGAGAGAAGTAGGGTAACCGTAGCCAAAAGCAGATTATCCAGGGCGATCTTAAGAAGACCGTTAACCTACGTTAATTCAAAAAGCCTAGGGCCTAAAAGATTCAGAGCTACAATATACAGATCAGCCAGGATGGCTTCTGCTATAAATATAGTAAGGGTATTAACCCTAACGATTAAGACAATAATAAACCTGGTACTGGCAGCGATAATAATAGTAACGTTACCGACCCTACTCCTCGTATTTAAACTATATCACCTATACCTACAGCAACCTCTGGCCCTGATATCAATATAGGCAATACAGACAATACCTAGGGTCTTCCTCTGCCAGAGTATATAGAGATAGAAGATATCTTTCCTGATCCTTCCCCAGCAATAGCTATTATATCAGCCCCTACAGCAGCAGTAGTAGTGGTCTCGTACAAATTACCTACTGATTATATATATATAATTTAATATAGCAGCATAAATCAGATCATTAATAATACTGTTAAGGTAGGGACTCTTTATACAAAGCTGGTTATATTACAGACTATTAGGAAGATAATCTATTTAATTAGTATAATCAACAAATAGATACTTTACTATAAGCATATATTTAAGCTCTTTAAGCTATTTAATATAAATACCAACAGCAAAAGTTATAAGCAGCTTACTATGTATATTAGCTATCTGTACTGTTATTTAGATTTATTTAACTAAGTTCTGAGGGATAAGCCTTGGTTTCAGCCAAAACCTAACCTAACCGCTGATAGCAACTGTGGCTTTTACCGATAGGCCTATATCATACCTCAGCCTTTAATCGCTGACTTTGCCAAATATACCTAGCTTACTTTACTTAAGCTAATTCGCTGTATCTTACCTAATATAAACCGGGGACCTCAGGGTACTTTGGTAAAATAGCTCCTAGAGCAGATACAGCGTGACGGCATAATTATTATTCTTAGTCTATTTAGCTACCTCTCTAATAATTAGGATAGAGACTATCCTAAGGGTATCATACCTCTGATCTAAGAGGAGATCGATATATATAAATACTACTTCCGCCAGCAACCAAACCGCCTACGTCTTAGGTAGAATTGTATAATATAGCATACTCTGGGCTAGTAACTTATTTACTAGGATATAGCTTACTATCTATACTATATCTATTTCCGGCCCGATTATATATATCGACTGATTTCATTCCTATATTATATAAAGAGTATATAGCCTAGCGAGAAAACCTTCTTTCGCTACATCGATATTAATATTGATGATTTTATCCAGACCGGTTATGGCAGCAGTATCTTATAAGGCTCTGTATTGCTGACAGATAAAAACAACCAAAACTGTACAGAGATCTTACCTAAGATATACTACCATATTAGAGAATAGTGGAATAACGTTAAAATACGTTGTACTGAGTAGGGCAAAAAGCAAAAGAATAGGTTGGTGCAGGGGATTAATACAACTATATAGACTCCTAGGGATACTATAAAGTATAAAACCTAGTAGATAAAGTAGGTATATAAAACCCTACAATATTATACGGTATCCTTACTAACTAACTGGGTCTAATA